ATCTTAAAAAAAAAAAAAAAGATAACTATCTACAGTGGTACATTCGTATACATTCATATAATATAAATATACATATATAAAGATATGTAATTATACATTCATAAATAAACATTCATATATAGTTATATAACCTAACAGTAAATTTTGTGGAGTTTTACAATACAGAAAAGAAATTGCCTCATTAAAAATTTTATTTTATTTTATTTTATTTTATTTTTTTATAGAGGCATGCTTTATTTATTTGTTTGCTGGTTTGTTTGTTTGTTTTGTTTATACATGCACTGGGTACAGTCAGAAGCGCGGGAGGGCGAGAGAATTCACCAGAGCCAGAGCGGGGAGCAGAGCAGGCAGAAGGACCGAAGTACACTGCTGAGGGGAGCAGCGGGCGGCAGGAGGGGTCTGCGCGCCATGTGGGACCCTCCTCTGGTGGCCGGGGAGCAGCCAGGGATCGAACCGGCGCCGCAGAGGCCGCGCGCAGCTTCGCAACCCAGTGCTCAACCGCTGCGCCACCGGGGAGGCCCATTAAAAATTTTAATGAGGGACTTCCCTGGAGGCCTGGGGGTTAAGTCTCAGTGCTGTCACCACTATGGCCTGAGTTCAGTCCCCAGTCAGGGAGCTAACCCACATATGGCGCAGCAGACTTCTGTCTCACCCACTGCTCCCCTTAGCTGTGTAGCTCAGTAAATCTACCTGTTCTGCTCCCCACTCTGTCTCTGGTAAATCCTCTACCCTCTCCCCCACCCCCCACTCCGCACCTCTAGCCTAAACCCCAATTTTTCTATGCAATAAATACTAAAAAAAAAAACTGAGATGAAAATCATATTGGCAAGTATTCTCTCTTCAGATCTAATTTCCAATAATTGTGTAATAGTTTCAGAGATTATTTTACTAACATTTCTAAGTGTTTCTGTATTTTCCCACTTGTAGATTTTATGTATTTATTTACTTTTTTCCTTTAACTTTTTGGAGATGTCAGATTTATACCTATTTTCGATGTGCGAGTCTTTCAGTTTGATGTACAAAAAGGAAATTCCCACCACAATGTTGATACTAGGAGTTTAAAACACGTGTGCAAACACATAAACATGATAAGACAGCCTTCAGCTAGTCTCTTGCTTCACTTACATTTGCCATTAGGTATGCGCTATTACATATATTGTTGAAAGGTGATAAAAGATTTTTGAACTTTAATAACTAAGGGCTACAGTTTGCTTTTGCCTTTATTAAAGGGGGAAATGAGTTGGTAACATTTTAGGTGACTATTAATCTTTGATTTTCTTCTCTTAGGCTTCCAAGAACGAAACACTTATTGAATGTTATCAATGAAAACTTTGGTACCCTTGCCTTCTGCCGCAGATGGCTGGATCGCTTGGGAGAAAGTAAATACTTGATGGCTCTGAAGAATCTGTGTGACTTGGGCATTGTAGATCCATATCCACCATTATGTGACATTAAAGGATCATACACAGCGCAGTTTGAACATACCATACTATTGCGTCCAACATGTAAAGAAGTTGTCAGCAGAGGAGATGACTATTAAACTTAGTCCAAAGCCACCACATCATCTTTTATTTCCTAAGCTTTGTTGGAATACATTATACCAGAATTTATTTGCTGCATATTGTTGTCTGTTTAATGGTGGACCTATGTAAAACTTCTATCCATGTTTAAGAGGGAAGGAAAGGTATTTGATCAAAGGCAAATTGTCTAATTAACCAAGGAAAAAAAAGCTTTCAGGACTTTCAATGTTAACTGTTTCTCCTGTCCCCTCCCCCCACCCCCTCCCATTTTAGGAAATGCTATAAAGCTCATTTAGTTAAGGAATGACTTATACATTTTGTTTTGAACACAAGAAATGCTTTTCAGATATTTATATTGCCATATTCTTAATTGAATGCTTTGAATGACTACATCCAATTCTGCAACTCTATCCTCTGATATTGCTTTTTAACCTTCCTGGAATCCATTTTCTAAAAAATAAAGACATTTTCAGATCTGAGAGTTACATTTCAATGTCTGTGGTTATAATTCTGCATAGAAAATAACTTCACTCAATGTAAGGAAATGTAGTCTTTCATTTGAATGGCAGACCTCTACTGAAACTACCCTTCTGACATAGTGGCTAAAAGGAGGTGGCATGCATATTCAGTGGGAGTAGAATCTTTGTAATGTTATAGATAGAATATTTTGCCTTTTTCTTCTTTGTAGGATTTTATAGACTTTTACATATCTTTCCCTGACATTGGATTTACTGATTTAAATATGATCTAATAGGAACATTGTACAGACTCCAAACATTAATATATCAATTGTAAAATTGCAACATTTAGGTCCTTTGTCAAATGGTAGTATTTATAGGGAAATGTATCAGCTTATTCAGTCAACCAAAAGGCATTTAATTTAAAGTCAAAAGCAAAGAAAACACAATTTACCATGTTTGGATCTTACTCTATAACTAGAAAAATTGATTTTTGGGTTTTTTTTTGGTCAGCCAAATTCTTTAACACTCTGTCCTATGGCATGGATTCTTAACATTATAGGATTATGGATTCATAACATTACATTTCAGGACGTGAGTACAGTGACACTTAGAGCAGCTGAGTGCCTAAGTTGAATGTAAGATGCATATTTGCTTGCTTGAACTGAGCCCCACTACCCATTCTTTAACACTGCTTAAATTCTTTTATGTAAATGATTTGCTGGGAATGTTCCAACATAATTTCAAAACTGTTATGTACCAAGGTAAAGCCTTAATTCATATATGCTTTAACACAGTATTGCCTCTAGGATGTTGTTTAGCTAATGTTTTGTTTAAAGTTTTCCTCATAGCAAGAGAAACCTATGACTTAGATCATTTATTATATATTACAAAGCTGCTCTTTCAGCATTAGAGCTAGAAATGTTACCTTGTGGGATAAGCAATTAGTGTTTAGCTTTATGAGCCATGTTTATGGTGCTAATGTTCAATAGCTACCTTTGAATAAGTTCTCCATCTTTTGTGATGTGGTAGTGGGAGAACTCACCAATTCATACGTGAATGTGTTACATGAGGTTTGGGCCCTCCAGCTAGGTCTTTTGGGTTTTTGAATTTGTACCTTTTGTAGGAGGTATAATGTGCATATCTTGATTTGTAAGTTCAAGAACTTCAGAACTGACCCTATAAGTGAAGAATTTTGGAGCTTTAATGAGCTCCACTTCCCAGGTACCTGCTGGATCAATGAATGGCATTACTGCCATAGGAATGGCTGGAAGGGATGGGATATTGTAAATAGGAAAGCTGTCACTTAAAAAAGATTGTATTGTTTACCTGCTAGCCATGTATCTTGAAATAATTTTGTCATGTTTACAATGATGTACCTTATTGGTAACAAATTATTAGTTTGATGTTTTAACAATAGTGCCTTTAGTAAATTATTTTATAACCAAAACATGGTGTTTTTTGTTAGAATGTGAAAGTCAACAAAGATGTATAGTAAGAAATTAAATTTTTGTTCATTGTTTAGGTTTTCTGTTCTTTTTTCCCCCCATCAGTTTTAGGCTTATAGCAAATTGAGCATAAAGTGATTCCTTCCTTGACACCATCCTCTCCCCTCAGCCTCCTCCATAGATTAAGAAGTTAAGGGCTAAGTCACTTTATTTTTTTCTCATGTATTTTTACAGTGAAGTAAGTACCAAAACAAGCAAATTCTATTACAAACATCCAGTGTTTTTAAAAAGTCCCACTAAAATTAGTTTAACTATTATACATTTTAGCACTAAGTAAAAAGTAGTTTTTGAAATTAAAAAAGGCTAGACCCTGTTATCTTGACCACATAAATCTTTAATGAGGTATAATTGCTATAACAGTTGAGGTAACAACTTGCATAGGTATTTACAAATGATTTTAAACCATAGCCATTTAATACTCAAGCTATATTTTTGGCATAAATGATTTGTCTATTCAGTGATAAATTCTCATTGCACTTCATGATCAGCTGCCACAAATGACATTCTCTGCGATTTAAAGAAAATTTGCTAGTAGAGATTCCTTTCAAGTTTATACTTAAAGATGATCGCTAGTGGAAAACATTTTACAGTACTTTTCATTTAGATTTCAACCTGCAAATAAGTTGACTTTATATGGATAAATGATCTTCAGATGGTTAACACCAAGATAGGATTTTATACAGCTGACCTAAAGGTTGGGCTCTTTCTGAATAAGATTTAAGTTAGCAACAGAACTTTAAAAGAAATTATTTAAGGTTATTAGGGAAGAGCAAAGAGTGATTTCATACTATCTTATTAATAAAATCAAGTCTAGATAAGTTTAAATTAAAAAAAATGTCAGGGCCCAGTGTTTGAATATCTAAGAGGCTACTAGTATTCATATAATTGAGCAAGAGTAAGTAATCCAGGCTTTGGTCATTTAGGAAAAAGATGCTGAATATGTTACCCAACCAATTGTGAATAATTACCATTTGTGCCCTATGCAATTTTTTTCTTGCAAGACTTTATTTTAAAAATATCAAGATGTGTATGATAATAGTACAAGATCTTCTGGAGATTTAATGTTAAACATAAAATGAACGTGTATCCAAGTTAAACTGTATTTGTATAATCTCATAATACACTGTTTGCTAAATACAAATTTTTGATAAGACTGCTTTATTAGACAAACCTGTTTGCTGCCAAACTAAGTCCCAGCCATCATTTGTTTTTTTAAGTCCACAGTTCTGAAGTCATTTAATCATGCTATTTAGAAAGCTGTCATTTTCATTTGTAAAATGTGATATGCCAAATAAAGAACAATTACTAAACTTGATACATTTTTGAAAAATGAAGTTCCATTAACCAAAGTAATATCTATTTTGAGCCCTGTAATAGAGTCTCAGGAATATCAGTGTGATTGATAAATATTTAGGTGATAGCTTGATATTTCACTTTCAATGCAGTAGTTTAACTTGCTTCAATGGCCTGAAATGTTTTCTATTATTTTTGGTAAGACTATTAGGAAAGAAAGTGTCTAATTTTTCCATCTAATAAAAATTTATATAGAAAATAGCTATAAAAGATAAATAAGAAATGTATAAAATGTTGCATTCTGAACTTCAGGAGATTGCACAAATTCATGATATGAGCCAATTAAGACATCAAAATATAAAAGAGGTAACACAGGTCTGAGGTAAATGCTAAAAATTGAAAACTCCAAGTACTTGAAAAAGGTGTCATTACCTGTTGATATACATGTATTTATGCTTTGTCTCCATAAAAAGAATTTTGCTGTAGTTAGATACAAAAATATATAAACATAGTGTGCACTGATTCATAAGTAAAAAATAAAAACAAGCTAAAATTATAAGTCAGCCCTTTTAAAAAGTATATATACAAATCACAAGAAAGCCCCACTGTCTTTGAATCAGCTAAGGATTTCATTAGAAGAGGTATCAGCTTCTTCACTGGAATGTTGGCTGCCAGACAGGAGTTCGGGAGGCAAGAGTTTAGAATGTCCATTCTCGGTAATTCGCTGGGTATAAAACAAGATATAAGCTTGGGCCTTGCATACTTCATCCATAGTGCACATGCTTAGCTTGGAATCATTGCAGTGTACCCAGAACCCTAGAGTGAAAAATACACCTTAATGTTTATAAAGAAACTTCAGAAATTTCTAATATAAATCAAAGCATGAATTTAAAGGCATTTGTTTCACTGACAAACTAAGTTTTTGTTGAAGTAACTGTCTAGTCAATTCATTCTCTTTTCATGAAAAATACAGCTTTGGGCAGCATGTTTCTCATTATCTACCACTATCCTTGAAGAAATACGTAGTTAGAGATCTGACTGATTTATTCACTCGAGAATATCTTTAATTCCTGGTTATAATCTTAGCAATTAAAGTTGTTGCTGCTAATCCTATAAAGCAAATATTTTACAAGTGTTGACAGTCTAGTGTTAAATTAATTGCCTTAATGGAGCATCTGGGCTTTTTGTCTACTTTTTGTTTTGTTTTTGTCAGGGGTTAGGGGTTGGCAGTTGGAGTGAGATGGGAGGCAAAAGGAAAGTAAGTGAAACCTAAATCAAATCATTTTAACTATGAAGTAAGTACTAGAAAGGCATGCATGGAGGCAGTAACTGAAAGTTTACATGTTCAAACCTGAACTCAAATGTTCCAAGTATCTGTGATCTCCCAGTTCATCAAATGCCATTTAACAAAAAACAGTAAATAGGACCTGCCGTTAGAAGAGATAATCGCTCTTTTTGACCTAACAAGATCATCCTTATTATCTACTTCCACAGCTCTTTAAAAGTGAAACCACTAATATTCTACAGAAAATATATTCTACCTCCTACGCAAACCCTCAGTGTTTTTATTAATATTCTGGAAGCCTTCTTCTTCAAAGAAAACAAAAGTTCAAGTGTCGTTGCTTAAGATGATTTTTGTGGCCAATTTAGAAATCACTAAAGCCTGAATTTCAGCTTCCAAGTACGACCCAAGATAAAATAATTTTTCCCATCGGTACCTCCTTCAGAATTATAGCAGTAGGCAGTGTAGTGTCCTGAGCCAAAGCCTTTCCCATGGTGCATTACTACAGCAGATAAGTCATAGATAAAACATTCTGGCCGGAGGGATTTCAGGGACTCCCTGCAGCAATAAGGTTCCATATTTAAGATTTCTTCAAAGCCAACATGAACACCAATCTTCTCTCGGTTATTACGTCCTGACCACCTGTGAACAAATCAGGGTAAAATTATCCACAAAATCAAAGGAAAATGAACATGTTCTGGGTTAAGACTGTCTCTGGTGAATCCTCTCACACCCCCCCTCACCTTTGGCCTACACCCCAGCTCTTGTATGCATAAATAAATAAAATCTTTAAAAAAGTAATGAACTTCAAATGCTAGAGCTTCAAATGAATAAAGAGCTTCAAATGAGTAACAGGAAGTTCTTTAATAGTTTATAGTAGCCAACTTTATAGTGCCAATTTTTTTTTCTTTTTTTTTTAGATTATGTTTTTGTTTTGTTTTGTTTTAAAGATTTTATTTATTTATACAAGCACTGGGTACAGTCAGAAGCGCGGGAGGGTGAGAGAATTCACCAGAGCCAGAGCGGGGAGCAGAGCAGGCAGAAGGACCGAAGTACACTGCTGAGGGGAGCAGCGGGCGGCAGGAGAGGTCTGTGCACCATGTAGGATCCTCCTCCAGTGGCCCAGGAGCAGCCGGGGATCAAACCGGCGATGCAGAGGCTGCGGGCAGCTTCGCAACCCAGCGCTCAACCGCTGCGCCACCAGGGAGGCCCTATAGTGCCAATTTTAATAACAAAATTTAAGTTTTCTCAAGTCTATGTTTACAGTACTTTGTATGTTCTTACCTTTCCACTCTTTCAGGCCCATGTTAATGGCCCTGAAATATGACATTAACTAATCTCACTGTTTTCTTTCCACTTGATTTTTAGACACAATGGCAGATCTCACCTGACGTTTCACTCAACTTTTTGTTGCATATACCATTCCTTGTTTCTTCCTCCATATCTTTGTTTATGTTGCTCCCTTAAAGTGTTCCTGCTGTGTACACTCTATTTGTCCACTCAATACATGTTTTTGGACACCTACTATGTGCAGAGCTTTTCTGGGTCTTGGGGTACAGGGATGTCATTACTGAGTTTCTGTCTACGAGAAGTTGGGCAGAAGTAAACTAATTGCAGATAATGGTTTTTGTCATTAAGTAAAAATAGGGTAATGTGAAACTGAGGGGTTGGGTGAAGCTACTTTTTTTTTTAAGATTTATTTATGCATACAAGAACTGGGGTACAGGTCAGAGGTGTGGGAGGTGAGAAGATTCACCAGAGACAGAGTGAGGAACAGAACAGGCAGACTGACTGAAACACACTGCTGAGGGGAACAGCATGTGAGACAGGAGAGGTCTGCTGAGCCATGTGGGTGGCTGCCAGGATAGGTAGCTCCCTGGCCAGCAGGGTATCGAACTTGTGCTGCAGAGGCTGCAGATAGCTTCACAGTGCTGTGTTTAACCCCTTGTGCCACCAGGGAGGCCCCAGTTTATTGACATGTTCTTTTAATAAAAGAAAGGAATTAATCATTGTCCCTAGCCTTCTCCAGCAGACACCATATTTAATAATTCATCTTCTGATTAGCTGTTTTTGTAGAATGTGTTGCTGATCAACAAACTCCTCACACTTTGGTCTGCTAGTAATCCTTCTTGTAAGTTTAAATCTCCTCATAGTATTTAATCACGCCAGCATAGTTTAGGTGTGAAATTTTAATTTCAATTTATAACTGAAGTATTTAGGCCAGTTGCTTTGTGGTTGGAAAATATTTGAACAAAGGTACAAGATGTTCAATTAAAGCAGTAAAAAAAAAAAAAAAAAAGACCTCAAAAGTACATTTAGTAAGGTATTCAAATCTGTTGCAAATCTGTTGGTTAGACTATTGGTTTCATTACTTTGTATTAACTATGTGAACTCAGACCTTATTTTTGTAGGGGATGTGAAGTTACTTTATGTTCTATGATTTGAAAAATATTAAGACCAGGTTTCTCATCCATGCTAGTTGTTGCTAGGTTGAATTTTTTTTTTTAATTTAAGGAATACATGGGCTTTTTTTTAATTCAAACTTTACAGGAGGTAAAGTACCTTTCTTCCTTTTAACCCTGTTTCCCAGAGATAATTACTGTTAACTTGAAGTTATCTTGAAGCTGGGAGAATTCCAATCAGCAAGTATCTTGTGTTTGCTTCTTAATGCAAGCTATTGCTCCCTATTTTTTTTTTCGATTTATTTATTTATACAAGAGCTGGGGTACAGGCCAGAGGAACAGGAGAGTGAGAGGATTCACCAGAGACAAAGCGGGCAGCAGAACAGGCAGACAGACCAAAAGCACTGCCGAGGGGAGCAGCGGGTGAGACAGGAGAGGTCTGCTGCGCCATGTGGGTATCTCCCTGGCCGGCTGGGAATTGAACCCACACTGCAGAGACTGCGGACAGCTCCACAGTGCTGCACTCAACCCGCTGCACCACCAGGGAGGCCCTGTTCTATATTCTTTGGAGAATATTAACTAGGCATGTACAGAAAAAATGGAGAACCAGAAGTACTAAGTATTGCAAACCTGATAAAGTGATTTATCAGAGATTTGGAGGGTATTAACCAATGCTTACATGTGCCTAAAGCCTCTCTGATGGCACAGCGAACTTTGTATTCTTCAAGTCTCAGTTCACATGTTAGCCCTTTAGAAAGTTCCTGACCATCCTAATTAAAAGTAGCTCCACTGGGGCCTCCCTGGTGGCACAAGGGGTTAAAATGCAACTTATGAAGCTGTCCGCAGCCACTGCAGCACGAGTTTGATCCCAGCCAGCCAGCCAGGGAGCAACCCATATGGTACAGCAGACCTCTCCTGACTCACCCACTGGTTCCCTCAGCAGTGTATTTCAGTCAATCCACCTGTTCTGCTCCCCACTCTGGTGAATCTTCTCACCTCCCCCATACCTCTGGCCTGTACCCCAGTTCTTGTATGCAAATATATAGTATTGGAATCTAATTAATTGCATATATTAAAGTTTTGAAGCATTGTGAGCACAAGGTTAGGAGTGAACATTTGGCAGGCAACTGGCAATACTGCTACTACTAACCTGAATCGTTTGAGATGTAGTCTGAGAACTTGAGGTAGGTGGCATATCATCAGCTGTTTTTGGGCTTCTGTGAGTATAACTGGTTTTGAGGAAAACCTTCTACGCTTTGCTATGATATCAAAGACAGAATGAGAATAAAATTTAAGGATACAAGGAAAAACTGAGTACACCATTAAAATCATTTAGACATATATCATCAGTTAACATGGCCTTGCTCTGAAGAAACCTATATAAAAAAACACCTTGTGAGCTAGAAAAGATAGTAGACATGTAGACAAGTATATGATTTAACATAATCCTGAGAATAAGGCAATAGAATGATACAGTGTTGGCAATATTTAAAACCAGATATGGCTATACTAATTAAATTTCTCCAAAGACATACTTAAGTATACGCTTCCCACATTCTTAACTAAAAAAAGTTTCATAGTTCATATATTAAGGCTAATCAGGCTCTGAGAGGGCATGGGCCCTTACTGACCAGAACTTTTCCCCCTACTTCCTGGGGAGCCACAGACCTTTACTAACTGCATCTGAGGTCTCCCTCAGTATTTTGCTTTTACTATTCTAGCACCAGATCTTAAATAAGTGAAACTTAGGATTCATTTTATGGGACCTCGAGAGAAGCAGGAGGTAACATCTGTGAATTGTGCCCTGCAGCTTCTGGCTGAGGCATCACTACCCATGTTTGCTCTGGTTGGGCAGAAGCTGTACTTTAACTTCTATACCAGCTCCAGACCAGCAACAGTAGCAGCTGCTTCTCACAGAGGAAGTAGAATCAATCTACCATCAGGCCATCCTCTAGCCATCTTCTCTTGTTCCTGGAAGGCTTTCCTCTAGTTCTACAGCCCTGAGATCCTGCTGCTGAGCGTCCTTGACCTACCTCTGGATTGTCTTCTGGAATATGTCATGGGATGTCAACCCCTGACTTGTAACTTTAAACATTTAGCTTATATATATTAAAGCAGTTTTTTAGGGCTTTATTTGCTAAACCCAGTAGACACACATAAACTTGTTTCAAAACCATGTTGTACAATCACTCAGTATTTTTTTTTTATCACCCAGATTTAGTGATGAAAGAACCTAGACCATTCACATTTATGTCTAAGGGGAAAAATACTTCACTATGCAAATTTGATAAAGGTTAATTTTTTTCTAGCACCTTATACAATATATCCTTACAGCAGAGTTCATGTTAAGACAGCACTCGGAAAACCACATTAGTATAAGTTGTTCTAGAAAACCATCAATTGATATTTTATAGCTGGTACATCCAGTTTTTTTTTTCTTTTTTTAATTACCTTAGAAATTTAATTACCTTCGAAGTTACCTAGAATCATTTTTTCAGACATGCAAATTAAGGAGAATGTCTAAAAATATGTAGTATAAATACTAACATGCCATATATACATCGATGGACAACATTTTCCTGGACGATGCTTTTCTTTAATTGAAATGCTGAGTTCACTGCCCGCCCCCACTCTTGTTAGGTTCTTGTTCTCCTCTATTAGAGTGCTTATTGCAGTAGATATTGTTTGTTTCCTCCATTAAGTACATGAATGAGCACACCCTGAAACTCTCTTACCTCTATCCATAGCAACCACCGACTAACATAGGAGATAGTGCCTATTTTTAATAAGTGTTTTTATAAAGCCATTCTCCACAGCAGCAGTCCAGCTATATATTATTTTCTCTATTACATACAGATGTATAAGCAGATATATCAGTGTTCTGGTATGTAGTAAAAACTTAAAAGCAAACATTTTATTTAGTACTAAATGACATACTTTTCTTTTGCAGAATGTTCCCCTTTGCTACTTTATTTTGCCTTACATGTTAAATTTATTTTATGAATCTTTTCTCTCTGCAGTTGGCTATGGGAATCAAAAAAAATTTTTAATGTCATTAATAAGGCAGAACAAACGTATAGTTCACAGATGCCAATTATACAGTATATATGTCTAGTCTGGTTTCTTTTGATGAGCTAAAAAAGCTTTATTTCATTAAAAAAGTTTATTTTCATAACGATTCCTCTCATTTGTGTTTCTCTTTGCTAATCTTAGAAAGCAAAGTGAATATACAGTGTCTACTCACAGTTACACTGGTCACATACGTAGATTTTTCCTTCTAAAGCTTCAGTTTCTGTGAATTTGGCCAACATTTCAGTAACCAGACATGGCTGGGAAGCATTATCTTTTCCACTGCATTGATATCTTTCTGGAAATTCCAGTGACAAGTCCCAGAAAGGTTCTATGGTATTTGATTTGTTGTCACATGCAAGACATGTAACCTGCAAATAAACATATTTGTTTTTCAGATTATAATCCTAATGTCAAACATTTACACCTCTCACTAGAAGTTATCACCAATAAGTTAGCTTTCCTTCTGAAAATGCACCATCAGAATTCTGAGTAATTGGCTTTATTTTTCCAGGAATTTTTTATTTTTTAACTTTTTCTTTCCAAAAGACTTATTAAAACACTTTATGCACTGGTAGCCATACATTCAGAAAACTCAAAGGGCATTAGTCAAATCTGAATTTAAGTAAAAAACTACTGTGCACTCATTTATATATAGTGTGTGTTATGTATATACATGTATGATGTGCACTTAAAGGCATTTAATTTAATATGTTTAGGTTATTAGACTTGAGGTTCTCCACCCTTTCCATTCATGTTCCACTAATTTTCTCCCCAAATCCCTACAAACTTCTTAGAAGCAAATTTTCACTAAACAGATTTTATAACCTTGCCTACTGCTAATTTTAAGACAATAAATAAATGTAATGTCATATTCCCACTTAGTCCAACGATCGCTACATTAAAATCCTTACAAAATATAGGAATCAAAGGGTATGGGGCAGTTCTAACAATGTACATAGGAAATACAGTAACTGGAAAGGGACAAGTGACTTCAGGGAAATAATCAGCAGGATTTAATGTCAACAAACAGCACATAATTGAAGACAGACTCTTCAGGACTAATAATCCACACATGATAGGAAATATCAGCAAGCCTTTTCATATAGGCTACATTCCTGAAACAGGCAGAAAATAAACGAGGGGCCTCCCTGGTGGCACAAGGGGTAGCACAAGGGGTTGTGTCTCAGCACTATTAAGCTATCAGAGCCACTGTAGCTTGATAGATTGAACTGTAGTTCAATCCCTGGCCAGGGAGCTACCCGCATGGCACAGGAGACCTCTCCAGTGTCACCCGCTGCTCCCCTCAGGAGTGTATTTCAGTCAATCTGCCTGTTCTGCTCCTTACTCTGTCTCAGGTGAATCCTCTCACCTCCCCACCCCCCCCACCTCTGGCTTACAGCCCAGCTCTTGTATGCATAAATAAATAAAATAAATCCTTTAAAAAATAAAAAAAAATAAAGAAACCAGTTCTAATATAAAATTTATATATAAAAAATGGACACAAAGACAATACTTTGGGTGTTTACTCTGGGGACTCAGTAGGGCCAGGGTCTGATGTTTTTAAAGAACAGTTTCTTGAATTAAGGGGAAAAAAGTGAGCCCAGCAACCAACCATCTAAAACTACTGAGAAAACCAGTTTCCTTAGACATTTTTACATGTTGAAAGACAAGAGAGCAAAAAGCTGGCACAAGGATTTCCAATAATATCAAAATTCATTAATAAATGAAAAAACAAGCACCCACTCTCACAGTGTTCACAATATAAAATGGTTAATTTCAGAAAAGAAATTTGTTATCATGTATCAAAAGTCCTATTCTTTGACAAAGTAATTCTACAACTCTAAAGGAAATTATTAGAAAAAAATGTTACTACTTGAATGTGACATTTTATTTTTCATTTTTATTTTTTTTAAAGATTCATTCTTCTATGCATACAAGACCTGGGGTATAGGTCAGAGGTGTGGAGGGTGAGAGGACTCATCAGAGACAGAGTGGGGAGCAGAACAAGCTGACTGACCGAAAACACCCCTTGCGCCACCAGGGAGGCCCAAACGTGACATTTTAATGGAAAAATTGAAAATGGTTTACAAATCAGCAATAGGGAAAATGGTAAAATTACATACTTAGGATGACCATTGAAATGTTGGCAAGACAATAATCAAATATATATATATATATTTTAAAGATTTATTTATTTATTTATACAAAGCTCTGGGTACAGTCAGAAGTGTGGGAGGGTGAGAGGATTCACCAGAGCCAGAGCAGGGAACATAACAGGCAGATTGATGAAGTACACTGCTGAGGGGAGCAGCGGGCAGCAGGAGAGATCTGTGCGTCATGTGGGACCCTCGCCCGGTGGCCGGGGATCGAACCGGTGCTGCGGAGGCTGTGGGCAGCTTCGCAATCCAGCGCTCAACTGCTGTGCCACCGGGGAGGCCCAATCAAATATTTTTAATGACTGAAAAAATCCTTATGTTATTAAGTAAAAAAATGAAAAAAAAAAAAAAAAAAGGATGGTGATTGGGGGGATCACATAACAAGGGGGATGACATAATTAGGGGGGAAATATGTATAAATATATAGAAAAAAAAGGACTGGAAGGAAAAATACCAAAATGCTAAGTTTTTATATGTGGGTCGTGGGGTTATGGTATTTGGTGAGGATTTTTCTTTTCTTCTGCATAGATTTATTGTATTGTATAGATTTTCTAGAACTTTATGTTACCTTTATTTATTAGAGTGTATCTTAAGTTTTTGCATAAGAAATGACAGGAACAATAAAATCACATGCAAAATATGAAGCATTAACTCATTTGCTCGTTGGCACGATGTAGAATATTTATACTTCTGAAACATGTGATTTCCTTAAAATTTTCTGGAAAATACAGTTTCCCTATGAAAAATTATGTTTGAAATATCACAGCTATATTAAAAAAAAACTGTTTAGTATTATTCTAGATAAAAATCACAATTACTTTCCTCAAAATTTTCCTTCCTACTTGTGAAAATTTTTCAGACTACACTTACTTAGTTTAATAGGAAGTTCTCTATGCCTACTCCTTAAATTACTCTGTGCACCAACGCATTCCAAGTATAGCAGCATCTTCAAATCTGTTCCCTCAGGGATTAAATCCTCCTTGTTCCCTCCCTGGTGGCACAAGGGGTTAAGAGGCAACCTATGTAGCTATCCACAGCCCCTGCAACATGAGTTCGATCCCTGGCCAGGGAGCTACCCACATGGCACAGCAGACCTCTCCCGACTCACCTGCTGCTCCCCTCAGCAGTGTATTTTGGTCGATCTGCCTGTTCTGTTCCCCACTCTGTCTCTGGTGAATCCTCTTACCCACCACTCCTCTGGCCTATATCCCAGTTCTTGTATGCGTAATAAATCTTTAAAAAAAATAAGCTGGGCGGGGGGCGGGAAAAGGAGGGGTAGGGGCCAAAATAAGGGGGTTGCAATTGTATGGGGAATATAAAAATAAAATTAAAAAAAAAAATAAACTAAGAAGCTATGTTTCCTGATCCCTTCTCTCCACAAAAAAATACACGACTACTTCAAAAGATTCATGAAGCAAAGAAGAGTAAGTCACTCATTTTCTAAAGACATTTATAAAAGCTATCTTACTTTGAGGAGAAAATGGTACTCGTGCTAACACACTGGATATATGAAGAATTTGCACTTCTGGGATGACTTCACTTTAATAAGCCAAAATGAAAATAATTTTTTTTTAAAAATCCATACCTGACTGAGAAGTTGCCCATGGAAAATGTTATTCACAACATTCAGAACCTGTTTGATAAGTTTCCGCTGAGAAGTGGGAATAAGAGCTGGTAATCTGGTACCAGTTGTCTCTAGTTCATCTTGTATTTTATCCAAAAGTTCACAAAGAAATTCCTGAGCATCTTGTTGTCCGTAACCACGAAAAGCAGGAATTAGTCTCCATACTGAGTGTAGCATAGCGAATGGGGAGACTAAGGCCCACTTTCCGGACCACATGACTTGGAACAAAATGTGCAATTCATGACAGAGAGAAATGTACTGTGAACTTGGTTCCCTTGGTTGAATAAGTTCCATTTTTCTGCTCGTTGAAGCCCCACCACTTAGTCCTGATGAAAAACTGGGGTGTCTGGAGTGAACAGAGCCTGTATCTTTTTCTTGGCACTCACTCATTTGATGCACTGTATCTGTGATGGGTGGATGCTTATAAGATGATCTTGTCTTATCACTGGCTGTCACAGCTAACCATCGGTTCAGGTCTAGTTTTAAAAAACATTGTCGAAAAATAAGTAAATGACTCAACACTTGAAGGACAGAATTCATATAGCAAGTATTTCCCAGATTTCTCAATCCAGTTACACCAGGAGTTACTATTGGCCTTCGTTGAACTGAAGAATCACTGGCTTTTTTAAATCTGACGTCTTCTGAGGTAGACACTATTTTATCTTTTGCTGGTGATGCTGGGGTTTGTAGTGGTGTGTGAACAGGAACTATTTCTATAGTAGCGGACTGCACAGGACCTTGCAAACGTAAACTCTTTCTTGGAGGCGTCCTTTCCAACTCTGCTTTTACTTGATTCTCTAATTCTTGGTGTCTTTTCTTCACTTCTCTTTTTGCTATTTTTTCCTGAAATTGTTCCTCTAGCCTTTTTCTTCCAATTGGTGATTGTTCAAACCAAGTTCGGAAGATTTTACCCATCAGTATCCTCCTTCTGTGCCAAAGAGCAGTATGCATTTGATCTTCATTTTGAAGCAGAGATTGGGTGCCATTGTGTAAGAAATAAGGATCATCATTCATACCCACAGACCTTAAAACTCTTCCACGACGAGGGGTACAGTGATAATTTTGAGTTTTGATTGCACTTAATGTGTTTCGTAGTAACTTCAGCTCTTCAGTTGCATTATCATTAAGAACATAATCATCACAAAGGTAACAAAAAACATACATCTCATTCACCTCAAAGGCAACAGGATGACTGCTTTCTTGAAAGTGCTTGAGTGCATGCTCTTCAATGTACCTTCCACAGGCAACATGGGAACAGCTCAGGCAAGCCCAGATCGACTCAGTCGTATGGCAGTCTACACAATGCCACTTCTCTGGGTTCAGGATGGAATGATCTTGAGCAAGCTGCAACTGCCCAATGTGTTTGCATTTATCCATTGTTATCATTTATTTAGTCTATCTGAGGTGCACATAATCCAAACAACTCTCTGTTCATGACACTTGAAGCATCTGAAAACTAAGCAGAATATCAATTTTTAATACAATGAAAAAGAAACCAATATTTTTCTTTTAAAAATAGGATATTTTTCCCAGAAGAATTTTATAAATTTGCTACCTCTTCTTCCAATTTGTGGGCTGCCTGTTACAACACAGTTCCCTTGTTCTAGACTTCTCTAATTTCACCTTGCTTTGAAAGAATATACACATTTCACCTTACTTTCTCTGATGGGGGGGTTGGGGGAAGAGTCTTTTTAAAAAGTTTGTTTTTAATTTTCTACTACCATCTAGTGGTGGAGACTGGGTAGTGACCACTTTTCAGGGGATGAGTATACAATTCACTCGTCTGAGAAGAGTTTTAAAACTATACTTTTTCTTAAAAATTGGGGCTGGAAAGACCAAAATATATCTCAGTATCTGCATTCCAAGAGCCTTCATGTAAAGTTACTAAAGCAAAATCATAGTTAAAAGCACAGATTTTGAAGGGCCTCCCTGTTGGCACAAGGGGTTAAGTCTCAGAACTATGAATTTGATCCCTGGCCAGGGAGATAACCCACATATGGTGCAGCAGACTTCTCTTTTCTTTCCCACTGCTCCCCTCAGCAGTGTATGTCAGTCGATCTGCCTGTTATGTTCCCCACTCTGTCTCTGGCGAATCCTCTCACCACCCCCACACCTCTGGCCTGCACCTCCAGCCTTGTATGTATAAATAAATCTTAAAAAAAAATAAAAGCACAGATTTTGAAGCAGAAAAACACATTTAAATACTGCCTTGTGTCTGACATGAGCAAATATTTTAATTTCTCTAAACTTCATTTGTGGGCCTCCCTGGTGGCGCAGGTGGTTGAACATAGCACTGTGAAGCTGTCCGCAGCCTCTGCAGTGCCGGTTCCATCCCCGCAGGCCTCGGAGCAACCCACATGGCGAGCAGACCTCTCCTTGTCTTGCCCACTGCTCCCCTCAGCAGTGTATTCTGTCAGTCTGCCTGTTCTGTTCCCGGCCCTGTCTCTGGTGAATCCTCTCACCCTCCCGCGTATCTGGCCTGTACCTGGTTCTTGTATAAATAAATCTTTAAAAAAAAAACTAAAAAAAATAAACTTCATTTGTAACACAGATCATCCCAACTTCAGTGAATTGTGGAAGATATGCAGTATGTTATGGAGGGATTTGAATGGCAGGTTGAGGATGGGTGATCAAAACTTTCTACTACTCCAGATATTATAAGGAAATTAAAGCTATAGCAGTGTTGAAGCAAAGATGAGGACAGAGGTAAATCTATGCTTAATGATGGGGACAGAGGTAAATCTATGTTTAATAAAGTGTTGGTTGGAAGAACTGAGATTAAGAGGGCCTCTTATGGTGAGGAGATTAAGAAGGCCTCCCTGGTGGCGCAAGGGGTTAAGCACAGCACTATGAAGCTATTATCCCCTGCCTCTGCAACACAAGTTCAATACCCAGCCCGCCAGCGAGCTACCACAAGGCACAGCAGACCTCTCCTGTCTTGCCTGCTGATCCCCTCAGCAGTGTATTTCAGTCACTCTGTCTATTCTGTTCCCTACTCTGTCTCTGGTGAATCCTCTTACCCCCTCCATCTCTGGCCTGTACCCCAGTTCTTGTATACATAAGTAAATAAATAAATCTTTTTTAAAAAAGAGAAGAATCTGGGGTTCTCCTGTGTATTTTTTATTTTAAAAGGGTCATATAAAGAACAAAGAGGCAATTCAGTTAAATATTTGTTTCTGGCATGTCATAGACAATAATTATTCAACTTCTTGTACAGAAAAATAGAAAATGCCATTAATTTACATTCACAGAAAATAATTTCATTCTCAAATTTTATTTTACTTTAAAGATTTATTTATTTATGCATACAAGAACTGGGGTACAGGCCAGAGGTGTGGGGGGTGAGAGGATTCACCAGAGACAGAGTGGGGGGCAAAACAGGCAGATCTACTGAAATACACTGCTGAGGGGAACAGTGGGTGAGACAGGAGAAGTCTGCCTTGCTATGTGAGTTCTCCCTGGCCAGGGATGGAACTCGTGCTGCACTGGCTGTGGACAGCTTCATAGGAGAGCTTCACAGATTGCGTCTTAACCCCTTGCGCCACCAGGGAGGCCCAATTCTCAAATTTTAAAGAGGTGGTATCAGTCACACCTTGCACAATAGTCAAGAAAGATGACATCAGAGAAAACCTAGAGAGAATATAAATATGGAAAGAATTTATTCTGGGGCTATCTCTGGGTACAGGGAATGCAAATAATCTTACTTTCCTTTTATCAATCCATATTATAATTTTCAAAAATACAAAAGTAATGGGTATGTCACTTGTAAAATAAATAAGTTTTAAATGGGAAAGATAGTGCTATGTGCTAAGTTACAATGGCATGTTTACTCCCTTTTCTAATCGGTAAATACATTTCCTTGGTTACAAGCAATGTGCCTATTTCATTCCAGTTGTTACTAAAAAAAAGATATCTACTTAGATGATAGAAAGGTCCTTGACCTTCAACAGGAAGTAGCCTATAATTGAACAGCAGGGTTCTCCATTTGATGCAAAATGGTGCAAAGTGTGAAATGATGATCAAATGCCATCACTCTGAGAGGCGCTATAATAGGGGGGGTTTCATGGCATTTGGTGAAAGCACACTCCGGAATGCAAATGCCTTAGTTTAGCACTTGTCTGCAGTTATTGTGTGATCTAGATACATTATTTATGCTCCACATACCTCAAGTTTTCTTACCTGTAAAATAGCAGTGGTCATCATGCCACCAGGGTTGTTGAGGAAATTCGAAATTTATTTGTAAAGCACTTAGCACAATTCCTGGCACTTAATAATATCACCCTCAGTACATCTCCAGCTGCCAATAATCAAACTAATAATGTTACTACTAATACTATAATAAACGCTAGGTTCCTCTTAGTATAAACACTTTTAGTTAAGCGTTACTTCTTAGCTAAATGCATAGTAAGTCCAACTAAGGTGCTAACTGATAACTAAAATATTAGCTGAGAAACGAGGTCTGACCTCTCCCAGGGTATTAGCATTTTAAAAGGGGATCTCTCAAAGATAAAATCTTTTTAAAAATCCAAAAAGGGAAACCAGAATGGTAGAATGACAGACCATGAGATTAATATTTTAGAGCAGGGGGTCGGTCCCCTGACCTCTCTACTTATGAAAGAAACCAGTAGGGGGTGGACGACTAAGGGAAAGGCAGGGTGAGACAGGAGCTGGACAAACCTTTGCCACCAGCACCCCCAGTTTGCTCTGCAGCCTGAAGATAAAGCTCAGTCGCAGTTACTAGGGTACCCCCAAAGGGGTGTCATCACACAAAGATCTAATAGCTTGGTGGAAAAGAAAGGGGGGTGGGAGTATATTCCTGACACTTCCTATTTTCCTCTACTGGGTTCAAAGCACTTCTTTTCATTTGCTAATCCACTGCTGAGAAGCTATGTATTAACTCTGGCTTCAGCAGATCGGGTAAGTTATTTCTGGCAACATAGTCATTTAAAAGAGAGATAAAGTATTTTTGCATTCCTTCACACAGATTCTGATAAAATATAACCTGTATCTGTATGTAATAAAACCATACAAATAGTCGAGATATTTTGAGTCGGCCTATATATAAACTTAGAACTCTATATAGATTAAAGTAATTTATACTCTAATTTTCTAATATAGTTATTTCACACTGGAAATTCCAATTAATAGCTATGAAGTGGATTTTAAAAAACGAAGCATCTTATGTTAACTCAAAAATTATATTAAAAAATTGGTATATGGAAATTTTACAAAATGAAGTATGCTATTCTTTATTTTAAAGAAAGATGATCCATCAATATTCTGAAGGCTTCCTATTGTCCTTCTTCACAGATTCTGGACAACAAAATTTTTATTTTTTCAAAGAAAAACATCCAAGCTATTAAAATTGCTTATGCTTGGGCCTCCCTGGTGGTGCAAGGGGTTAAGCATCAGCACTATGAAGCAATCCATAGCTACTGCAGCGAGTTCAATCCCCTGCCAGGGAGGTGACCCACATGGCAATAGCAGACCTCTCCTGTCTCAACTGAAGCTCCCCTTAGCAGTGTATTTCAACAGATCTGCCTGTTCTGCTCCCACTCTGTCTCTGGTGAATCCTCTGACCCCCCACACTTCTGGCCAACACGCCAGTTCTTCTATGCATTTTTAAAAAAAGTCTAAGAATAAAAGTTTATTAATTTAAAAAATGCTTATACTTATCACCTAGTAAGTAATCTCTAAAATTAATGTTCACTTACTCAAATTATACCTTGCAACATACAATCCATATTTTAAGCATGTAGCAATAACATTCTGATCTATTTTATTTAACGCCTCTTAAGCTACTTCTCATTCTCAGTTCATCCCACCAGAAGAGACTCAATGATCAGCTCTAGAAGTTGGCTATCAAGACTTTATCCTGAGCCCTAACTTTTTGGACCCAGTCTCAGGCACACTTTAAGCACAATTTTACCTGAGTAGCTTGCCTTCACAGAATGACTTCCCCAATATTGTCTTGTTAAAGACACTATGTATCATTTATATACCAAATCCAGATATTTTAAGGTAATTTTTTGATTCCTCCCTCCCATCTTTTCCCTGGTCAGGGAGATAACCCAGATGGTGCAGCAGTCCTCTCACCCGCTGCTCCCCTCAGCAGTGTATTTCAGTAGATCTGCTTGTTCTGCTCTCCATTCTGTCTCGGGTAAATCTTCTCAACCCCCTCTACCCCTGCACCTCTCTGGCCTACACCCCAGCTCTTGTATGCACAAATAAATAAATCTTAAAAAAAAAAAAAAAGCAAACTCAGACATACTTCTCCAACCCTAATTGGGTTCTTTAAAATTTTAGATCAGGGCCTCCCCTGGTGGCACAGGCCGTTGAGCACCGCACTGTGAAGCTGTCCGCAGCCTCTGCAGCACTGGTTCTATCCCAGCCGGCTGGGGAGGGTCCCACATGGCGCTGCAGACCTCTCCTGTCTCGCCTGCTGCTCCCCTCAGC